AGAAACACTGTAAAAACAAGAAATGTTAGAGATTAGAAGAAAACTCGGATGAGCGTACATACACATACATGTATTGTGCTAGTCATGTCATTATGCCACCCCTCCCACACACATACTGAAACACACACACACACATATACCTTGAAAGATCATAATGTATATATTTGCACACTTACTGAGCTTTTAATACTTGGTGCTGCATCCTTTGTTTAATCACGTCCCTCAGCCATGTAGGAAGACTCTCACCCAAATTCTTGAGGGTTTGGGAGGTGTATTATTCGATGCCTCATGTAGAGCAGCCTCCAACCGCGAGATGGAACTGATATCCTTGCCCAGTAAATTTCGTTTCACTATTGACCAGAGGTTCTCAATAGGATTTAGGTTTGGGGAATTGCCTGGCCAGTCATTAAAGAACCTCACTTCACAGTCCTTAAGCCACTGAACTAGAGATTTGGTGGTATGACACAGTGCACTGTCCTGCATAAACACTGTAGCCCCACCACTTGTCAAATGCCTTTGGTAAATTGTCAGACATTAACTTTAGGTAATTACACTGGTTCATATATTGGTTCTTGGGAAGCACAATGAGTTCACTAACACTCTGAGTACTGAAACACCCCCAAACCATGAGTGAGTCTGGGTGTTTAGTGGTCCCACAGGTGTAGCATGGGTCTAGTGGGTCAGTACCTCTGGGTTGGTACACATGTCCCCCCACGGTTACAAGTGACAGTGAAGGTTGCTTCATCACTCCAATGTACTTCAGACCACTGTTGAGGATGCCAGTGAAGATATTTCTTTGCATAATCCAACCTACATTTCTTCTCTGGCTTGGAGGGACTCAGTTTCTTAACCTTTGAGTGTTTCGGACATACTAGTACGGCTTACGACCCAGGGTTTTTGACGTACTAGTACGCCTAAATTCTAGTGCCCTCAGATCTAGTGGGAGAAAGCTGGTAGGCCTCCATATGAAAGAATGGGTCTATGTGGTCAGTGTGCATGGTATAAAAAAAATCCTGCAGCACACAGTGCATAATGAGAAAAAAAACTTTGACCGTTTTTTTTGGAATAAAACAGCGACTTTGCACTGTATTTTCATATGGTATTTATTATTGTATTCTAGTTTTCTTGGTCTCATTTTATAGAATGGAAGGCATATCATAGAAATTGAGATGATTTTGACTGGTTTTACAATGAAAAGTACCTTGAAATTGAGCTCAAAGTAGCAGAAATGTTCGATTTTTACCAAAGTTCAAAAGTAAACAAATCATCCCAAGCGTCCAATACATGTCAACTGGTGAGTCTAATATTCTTTTGCAAGTGCGTCAATAAGATTCATACCATTTTTTACACTAATGCAGCAGTCTGCATAACAGTAAATCTTCTATTTTTTTGTGAGAATAAAAATTCAAAGTGGAAAGCAAAAGAATGTAAGAGGGGCCTTGAGACGTGACTAATGAACAGAGGAAATGTCATTTTAGTGCCAGGAATGTATTTCTTGTTTGTTCTGGACCCTATTCGGAATTTGGTATCTTTTGAAATTTGTGTGAAATTGGCAAAATTGCTAAATTCTGACCACTGTACTGGATAGTTGAAATTGGTAAATGGGTGGTTTCTTGCACTCATTCAATAGAAAAAATGGAGTTCTAGCGAAATATTCATGTTTTTTGTCGACTAGTACAGAGGAACTGGCCGAAAATGGGGCTCAAATTGGGCAAAATCGCCGATCCGTAAACATCGCCGAGACCGCTAACTTTGCGAGAGCATAATTCCGTAAGTATTCCATCAAATTTCATATTTTTGGTGTCATTATGATCGGGAAAAGATTCTCTATCTTTTCACAAGAAAAAATAATTTTTTTTTTTTAAATTTGGCCGACCCTGAGAACGAGTCTCGGAGAGGGCCTGTCGACCCTCAAAGGGTTAACCAAACGGTGACTTCTGTAGACCAGTTCTGACACACGTCTGCTAACAGTTCTTAGACACCTCTGAGAGAAGATGTGGGTTCTTTTCTTACAATTCTCTAGCAGTTATCTTGGGTGTACTCTCTAACTGCTTCTTTGACACAGTTAAGGTACGAACAAATGTCTTCTTCGAGGGGCCAGGCTGAGGTTTGGTAGTTGGTATCTCGACACTGCCACCAGCCTTGAAACTCTGCACCCAGTTCTTCACTGAACGCTCACACGCACAAACATTCTTCACTATTTCTTTTGTCTGGTGCCCAGCTTTGTGAAGCCCTCTGCATGTGCAGTATGAACAACAGCAGTAGCAAGATGTACCTGTCATCTTGTATGTTTGAGATCAGAAACAAAAGACCAGTAATCATGCCATTGTGTAAAACAATTACAGGTTTCCATTTCACTCATTCAGCATGGTGTTACCTCCTCGAGTAGTTGCTGTCTACCAACCTACACCTACTAAAACTTGCTAATAAATATTTGATTTGTATGCCTTTTATTTATTCTGCTCTAAATTTCAAAGTTGAATCTGTTTTTTTTTTTTCTACCAAGTTGGTTATCTCCCACTGAGGCAGGGTGACCCAAAAAAGAAAGAAAATCCCCAAAAAGAAAATACTTTCAGCATTCAACACTTTTACCTCACTCACACACAATCACTGTTTTTGCAGAGGTGCTCAGAACACAACAGTTTAGAAGCATATACAGTGGTCCCTCAATAATTGTCCGGCCTGAAAGTCGTCCATTTCGGAAATAGTCCCGTTATTTCGTCTAAACATTGGCTCGCAAATGGTCTGTTAACTTGCTAATCATCCTTCGTCCGGGACGCGTACTCACGCTCTGAGCCGCCTGGGCCTGCCTTCCCAGCCAGTGTGCCATTGTTTACCAGTGAGCGACGGTCTCCTCACTTGCTCCTATGAAATATTTCATAATATTCCATTGATTTTAGTGCTTGCAAGTGCTAAATAAGCTACCATGGCTCCAAAGAAAGCTTCTAGTGCCAGCCCTTTGGTAAAGAATGTGAGAAACGCATATAATTTATGAAAAAGTTTTTAGAAAAATACAAAGGTGGTGGTGGTAGTGTGGAAGCAGTTGTGATAGTGGTTGATGGTGGTAACAGTTGTAATAGTGGTAGAAGGTGGTAGTGATGGTGGTAGCAATTGTAATAGTGGTAGAAGGTGGTAGTGATGGTGGTAGCAATTGTAATAGTGGTAGAAGGTGGTAGTGATGGTGGTAGAGGGTGCCTTCTTTAGTGATTCAGCAATTCTACAAACTCCTCCAATGTTGTTGGAGTTAAATAGGGCTACAGAAAACACCACCGCCTCAGCTGCTGCTTCACCACCATTATGGCGGCTTCCTCGTGGCCCTTATCACCCAAAAAACAGCCCCTCTCGTGCTCGTAATGACTTTTTATTCATTCTAGAGTCTATTCCATGTTTTTTTGTTATTAATATTGTTTATTATGTCATATTAGTTGAATTGTGATAGATAAATAAGCCATAGAGTTGATATTAGTGTCATATTCTCCAACAATAAACTTGCCATCCCTCCCTCACACAAACAAGTCTTCAATAAGAACATAAGGAAGGAGGAACACTGCAGTAGGCCTGCTGGCCCATACTAGGCCGGTCCTTCACAAGTCCAACCCACTAACAGCAGAAATGCTACCCAAGCAATAAGCTCAGGTGCAAGTCCGACTCAAATCCAACCCCTCTCACTTTTATATTTATCCGACCTAAATTTTAAACTACCCAAGCCATAGCTTTTAGAACATAAGAAAGGAGGAACACTGCAATAAGCCTGTTGGCCCATACTACGGTGGTCCTTCACAAATCCAACCCACTAACAGAGCAAATGCTACCCAAGCAATAAACTCAGTGCAAGTCCAACTCACATCCAACCCCTCTCACTCGTGTATTTATCCAACCTAAATTTGAAACTACCCAATGTTTTAGCTTCGATCACCCTACTAGGCAGACCGTTCCACTCATCAACTTCCCCTATTACCAATGTTCATTTATACATTTTATTAGTGCTTTACATTTATTTGGCATTCTTTTCTGCATGTAAATCTATATTTATGCTAGGGAAGTGACCCCTGAAGTGACCTAGAGTCCTTATGGAGGAAGATTCCCCTTCCAAACAATAACCTCTCTTCCTCTCTCTCCTCCCTGTCTTCCATTCATCAACAACAGCCTTCAGTAAAGGTAACTGTCATGTTGAATGTTCATTCTTTTGTGCATGTAAATCTATCTTTTAGGTAAAAAAAAAATTGTTATTGATACTTCTGGGTGTCTGGAATGAATTAATTGGATTTACATTATTTCTTATGGGGAAAATTGATTCAGAAATCGTCTATTTCGATAATAGTTCCACTTCCAGGAACGGATTAAGGACGATAATTGAGGGACCACTGTACGTATAAAGATACACAACATATCCCTCCAAACTGCTAATAACCCAAAACCCCTCCTTTAGAGTGCAGGCATTGTACGTACTTCCCATTTCCAGGACTCATGTCCAGCTATATAAAAATAACCGGTTTCCCTGAATCCCTTCACTAAATATTACCCTGCTCACACTCCAATGGATCGTCAGGTCCCAAATACCATTTGTCTCCATTCACTCCTATTGAACATGCTCATGCACGCCTGCTGGAAGTCCAAGCCCCTCGCCCACAAAACCTCCCTTACCCCTTCCTTCCAACCTTTTCGAGGACGACCCCCACCTTCCTTCCCCTACAGATTTAAATGCTCTCCATGTCATTCTACTTTGATCCATTCTCTCTAAATGACCAAACCACCTCAACAACCCCTCTTCAGTCCTCTGACTAATATTTTATTAACTCCACACCTTCTCCTAATTTCCACACTCCGAATTTTCTGCATAATATTTACACCACACATTGCCCTTAAACAGGACATCTCCACTGCCTGCACTGCCTTTAATTTGTCTTTCATCCATGACCAAGTATAAATGATGAAAGTACATGTGAATAACAGAATAAGAAAGTGAAGGAGTAAGAGAGAGGGGAGAGCAGGCTAGCAGAATGATAGCAGACAACCTTAGGCCATCCTCTCCTGTTGTGTACGAGGCTCCCAGTAAATTAATAGTACCTGTACAATTTATTCTTCACTGAAATTGCAAGCTTATAGTTAGCACCGCATTGATGATTATAATTGAAGAGGCTAGGGGTTTTCAAATATTTAAGTTTAATGTGGTCACGAATGCACAGCTTTGTAATTGGATTCCAAAAATCACAAAGATGCAAATACTGAGGGTTTACCATACAGAAAACTGTTTAGAATATCAACTTTTGTATTCCTGTTTGTATTAAAAATAACTAGATCTTGAGTAAAAAGATTAAAATAGAGAACTTTCTTATTTTCCTCATCCTCAGAGAGAAAGTGAAGGCCTTCACGAGTTCCTCATCAACATAGTACGTGTAGCAACAGATGTCAATGAAGACTGCCATGTATACCTTCTGGAAGATGGCTTACTGTTGTGGCTGACCACTCTAGAAAATACAGCAAATCCACATGATGCTCTTCTGCACATTTTTGACAACATGCTTCCATTACTGGAATTATCATCAGAAAATCTAAGACTTTGCCTGCAAATCACAACTGCTTATACACTGCTTTGCCCGGAACAGTTTCTTTCCAAGTAAGGGCTGAAGTTGTCTTTTATAATCTCACTGGGTTATCTTATTGTTTCAGCCCCTCATTTATTAATTATAATACTTATCAAGGGATACCATATTTATAGTAATTTTTACATCATGAGCAGTAAGTGAGAATTTGAATACCTGTCATTACACATAGCCAGTCATGCCAAATGTGTAGTGGTGGTTTAATTTGCTTATCTGTAGTCAAATGTATATTTTATAGGTTTATGTACCTTAACCCTATTTTACCTTGCTTTAAATGAAAGATTAAAAAATTGAATGGGAATTTCCTGGGAAAATTAATACATATAGTAAAATGAGGATAGTTTGCTTATTTACATTTATCCTTTTCGTCTGGTCTATTTCTAGCAGAATTAAGAACGCTCTTTTGAATGCATACAGATATGACGACAAAATACAGTAAGACCCCTGTATCCAATGAGGATACGTTCAAGGACCTGCTGTGGATACCCAAACTATGGATAGTAGAAAACATTACATATAAGTCCTCTATAAACCTGTTATAAAGTTTAATTAGTAATTTATGCACAAAAAGTGGAGATTTATCACTTATTCACTGATGGGAAGTACTTCATGGCTTCTCTAAGGTTTTGAATGCTGCCAGCTCTACTTTGGGGCCATTATTATGCAAAATTATTAGGTAAATTTGGGCTACAGTAAACTGTGGATAACTGAAACTGCAGATACCAAATCAGTGGTTATGGGGGTTATACTGTAATATATATTTTTTTTTTCATCAAACATGTCATATCTCACCGAGGCAGGGTGACCTAAAAAGAAAAATTAAAGCTTCTCCTTTTAAATTCAGTAATGTATACAGGAGAAGGGGTTACTAGCCCCTTGCTCCCAGCATTTTAGTAGCCTCTTATGACATGTATAGCTTACAGATGAAGAAATCTGCTCCACTTCCCCATGAAGTGGAACAGATGTACTGGTAGGATTGCTGGTGTCTTGTCTGTCTCATAAATATGCAAGATTACAGGTACATCTTGGTACTTCTACTTACACTTAGGTCACACTACACATACATGTACATGTTTATTTATACACACTCGTCTGAGTTTTCTTAGATTTTATCTTAATAGTTCTTGTTCTTATTACTTTTCCTTCTATATCCATGGGGAAATGGAATAAGAATCTTTCCTTCGTAAGCCATGCATGTTGTAAGTCAACGAAATGCCGGGAACAATGGGCTAGTAACCCCTTTTCCTGTAATGGTTACTAAAATGAATAAGAAGAAAATTGTCAAATTGGGATGTCTGAATGTGCGTGGATGTTATGCGAATGATAAGAAAGAGATGATTGTGGATGTTATGAATGAGAAGCTGGATGTCCTGGCTCTAAGTGAAATAAAGCTGAAGAGGGTGGGAGAGTTTCAGTAGAGTAAAATAAATGGGATTAGGTCAGGATTTTCAAATAGAGCTAAAGAAGGAGTAGCAATAATGTTGAAGGATAAGCTATGGCAGGAAGAGGGAGTATAAATGTATTAATTCAAGGATTATGCAGAGTAAAATAAAGGTTGAATGTGAAAAGTGGGTTATAGTAAACATATATGCACCTGGAGAAGAGAGAAGAGTAGAGGAGAGAGAGAGATTTTGGAATATGTTGAGTGAATGTGTGGGGAGTTTTGAACAAAGTGTGAGAGTACTTGTGGTTGGGGATTTCAATGCTAAAGTGGGTAAAAATGTTGTGGAGGAGTAGTAGGTAATTTGGGGTGCCAGGGGTAAATGAAAATGGGAAGCCTTCAATTGAGCTATGTGTAAAAAGAGGTTTGGTAATAAGTAATACATACTTTATGAAAAAGAAGATAAATAAATATACAAGGTATGATATAGCACATAATGAAAGTAGTTTGTTAGATTATGTATTGGGGGATAAAAGGTTGATGGGTAGGCTCCAGGATGTACATGTTTATAGAGGGGCAACTGATATATCGGATCATTATTTAGTTGTAGCTACAGTTAGAGTAAGAGGTAGATGGGACAAGAGGAAAATGGCAACAACTAGTAAGAGGTGAAAGTTTATAAACTATGGGAGGAGGAAGTTTAGGGGAGATACAGTGGAACATCTACTTGCGAGTGCATCCACGTGCGATTTTTTTTCCGTATACGAGGAGTCAATTGGTCAATTTTCTGCTTCCATACACGAGCAAAATTTCCATTGGCGAGCAGACCTCAAGGCAGGTTCCTTGATGCTGGTGAGGGGTTCTTGCTCTTGATCTAGGGAATTGTATCTCATTTTTTTTGTTGGACTATCTTATTTAAACTTGGGCAATGTATGATGGAAAGGTTCTTCTTAACTCGCACCAAAAATGAAAGAAATCGGAGCATAAATTGTGGAGTTCACTTCTCAGCAATTAGCCACTCCTTAGCGGTATTTTTGTATGGTTTTTATGATTGTATTCTCGTTATTTTGGTCTCATTTAATAGAATGGAAGATACATTACAGAAATACAGTGGTCCCTCATTTTTCGTAATTAATCCATTCCTTGAGCAGTTTGGAGGGATATGTTGTGTATCTTTATATGTGTATGCTTCTAGACTGTTGTATTCTGAGCACCTCTGCAAAAACAGTGATAATGTGCGAGTGTGGTGAAAGTGTTGAATGATGATGAAAGTATTTTCTTTTTGGGGATTTTCTTTCTTTTTTGGGTCACCCTGCCTCGGTGGGAGACGGCCGACTTGTTGAAAAAAAAAAAAAAAAAAAATTAATCCGTTCCTGACACCCAGAAGTATTAAAACAAAAAAATTTTTAACATGAAATATACATGTAGTACATAAACAATACAATGGGAAATGATGAATGAACATTAACCCAGCATAACACTTACCTTTATTGGAGATTCTTCTTAGTGTATGGGAGACTGGAGGAGGGAAGAGAGTGGATTGTTTATAGTTTGGAAGGGGAGTCCCCTTCCATCAACACCTCAGGTACCATTTGCTTTTCTGGGGTTGCTCTCTTCTCTGTTTCTTAATGCCACTGGGGACCACCTTGAGTCACGGGAAAGTCCTGTCTCAAAAAATAACTGTGGAGAGAGCTTGTTTCTGACGTCTCTTTAACACTTCCCTAAAATGGCCCAAGACTTTTGTCACTGTACATGTTGCCAACCTGGCTTGCAACAACCTGTTAGGGTGATGTTTCTCCAAAAAGCTTTCCATCTTACCCCACATAGTAAAAATCTCTTTAATTTCTGAAGAAGGCCCCTTCTTCCATCTCTCTTCCTCCTCTGCAGCAAGATTCTGAGCTGCGATGTGTTGCTCTTCCTGCTGAAGCTCTTGCAGCTCCTCAGTGGTGAGCTCTTTGTTGGTGGTCTTCCACCAATCCTTCCACATCCTCCAAACTCACATCCGCCCATGGAACTACCCAGTGCCACAATTGATTTTACAACAGATATAGGCTCAATTAGGGTCAGTCCCAAATCCTTCAAAATCCCTTTCTTGTCGACACAATCTGGCCACAATTTTCTCCAGGCAGAGTTCCAAGTCCTGGTAGTCACTCCTCCCAAGCCATACCTATAAGGGTTATGCAGTGGAGATGCTGAAGTGTTCTCTCCAAAATTCCCTTAGGGTCAAGTGAGTGTCTGGGTCAAGTCAAGCACCTGTGAAACATTGCTTTTGTTTTTAGAGTTTTTTAAAGTTTGCAGAAACCCTGCGGGTTCCATGGGTTGGAGAAGAGGAGTGGTATATCGGGGGCAAGAACTTTACTGTGATGAACCCAAACTCCTCGAAAATTAGGTCATCCAAGTTTGGAGGATGAGCAGGTGCATTGTCCATTACTAGCACACACTTGAGATCCAATTTTTTTTCCGGGAGAACTCCTTCACACTAGGGCTAAACACTTCATTGAACCACTCGACGAAATTTCCCTCGTGACCCATGCCTTACTATTAGATTTCCAAAACACACACAATTTACTCTTCTAACATTGTTTTTCCTGAACACTCTGGGATTTTAGAATGGTACACTAGTAATGGCTTCACTTTGAAATCCCCACTAGCATTAGCACAGAACTTTAGCGTCAGCCTGTCTTTCATAGGCTTGTGTCCTGGCATTGCCTTTCCTCTTGTGTAATGAAGGTCCTCTTTGGCATTTTCTTCCAAGAGGCCTGTTTCGCCCACAATTGAACACTTGTTCGGGTTTCAGTCCCTTCGCCTCTATGTACTCCTGGAATTCATGCACATATTTTCAGCCCCCCTTGTGATCCGAACTGGCAGCCTCACCATGCCTTACCACACTGTGTATGCCAGTACGGTTCTTAAATCTTCAAACCAGCCTTTGCGGGCCCTTTAAAATTCACTCACTTCACCACTATTTGCAGGCAATTTTTTTAAACCAAATCTTCATGCAACTGCCTAGCCTTTTCAAAAATAATCGAAGTCATAAGAGTATCTCCTGCTAATTGTTTCTCATTTATCCACACCATTAATAACTTTTCAAGCTCTTCCAGTACGGGTGATGTCTTTTTTTGTCAGCATTAGTTACTCCCTTTACAACAACAGCATCCTTTATTTCCTTTTTCTTGCCATATGGAACATAAGGTTGTGTAGGGTTTCTTATACATCCTGGACAGTTCGGCCACACTTGTACCACTTTCATATTGTTCAATGATGGTTTTCTTAAATTCAATCGTATTTCTCACCTTCTTTACCACAGGCTTGGCACTAGGAGCTTTCTTTGGAGCCATGGTAGCTTATTTAGTACTTGCAAGCACTAAAATAAATGAAATATTATGAAATATTTCGCTGGAGCACGTGAGGGGACCTTTGCTCACTGGTAAGCAATGCCAGACTGGCTGCCGCCCCGGCTCACGCAGTGGGTATGCGTCCCGGACGAACTACGACTCGCGAGTCAACCTATGAAAAGCGAGTCTGTTTATACGAAAATACCCCTATGATTGGCGAATTTTACGATTGCCGGGAACTATGAAAAGCTGGGGACCACTGTAGATATGATTTTGATTGCTTTCACGACGAAAAGTA